TTGGGAAACCTTGGGTCCTGCCATCCATGTGGATTCTACTTTGGCACTCACCTCCTACCTGAGCATTGTTGCAGACTTTTCATAGAAATGATATTTATTCGCTGTGGCCTCTTTCAGCAGGATAATGTGTTCTCCTGCAGAGCAAAAATGATTCAGAAATGGTTTGAGGAGCAAAACAATGACTTTGGGGTGTTGTCTTTGTCTCCAAATCCCACAGATTTCAGTCCCATCAAAACATGTGTGAGATGTGCTGCACAAACAATTCTGATCCATGGAGGCCCCACCTTACAACTTGCAGGAATTGAATGATACAGCAGGGCACTTTCAGAGATTTAATGGAGTCCATGTCTCAACTGTTCAGGGCTGTTTTAGCAGCAAAAATGGGACCCACCAATAGCAGGCAAGTGTTATGCCTGATTGATGTAGTCCTGCTGAAGACAATTCCAGGTCTGTATTAAAGGGCAGGAAGAATAAGTCTGAGTTACAGCAGGATGATTATGTTAGTTTAAATGAATCAACACCCCCAAGAATCCTCGAAGGCGGCGGTGTGGCAGCAATTTCCCACACCAGCTTATTAACCAACCACAGACCAAGACAGAGTTTTAATTCATTTCAAAGCCTGATGCTTAAACATGTTCACCTGGGCTGGAAAACCCCCCAAAAACAGTCTTATTTGGTCACATCTATCATTCACCTGGGCCTTAGACAGAGTTTCTGTCTGATTTCTCTGACTTTTTATCTTATGTAAAAGAACCCACCAACCACTTTAATCACACTCTAGATCTTGTTTTAACATATGGCATAGAAACTGAACATTTAACAGAGTATCCTGAAAACCTTATGTTGTCTAATCCTGTTCTAAGTACAATAATTGATTACACAGCAGTGGAGAGTAGACTTCATCACAGTAGATGTTTTTCTGAAAGTGCTGTAACTAAATTTAAGAATATAATTCACTCACTGTTATCATCTGTACCAACATAGAGCAGAGCAGCTATCTGAACGCTACTCCAACAGAGGTTGATCATCTTGTTAATAATTTTGCCTCCTCACTAAGTATGACTCTGGTTACTGTAGCTCATGTAAAAAAGAGATCCTCAAATCAAAAGTACTTGACTCTGTGGTATAACTCTCAAACACGCACCTTAAAGCCTTGGGACAAATTTTGGCGGAGTTGCTATTTTATTTTCTCCTTCTCTAAATGCGAATATTTTTTTCAGCGTAGAGATGGTAACGGGCAGAGTCCTTTTGGTGAAGGCTGAAATTGAAGGTTTTATTTTTTACTTTTGTTAATGTCTATGCACCAACCTTAGGGTCTGAGGGTGAGATTTTGTTTAAAACATTAAAAGAAAAATTGAGTGGTGCTGCTCATGGGGACTGTGTTGTGTTGGGTGGGGACTGGAATTGTTGTCTTGACTTTACTTTGGATAGGACTGGGGCACATCTTCAGTAATCTTCTGCTTTATCAGATGTCCTACGAAAAATTAATTTGGTTGATGCATGGCGGATGAAGCATCCCTCATCCAGGCAGTATACCTGGGTGAAAGTGACTGATGGCAGGATTAGTGCAGTGAGTTTCATTTACTGCTCGAATTATTAACTGTCAGTGTTTTCCTGTTGTTTTTACAGATCATCACTTAGTTTTACTGGAGCTGTTTCTATGTACCACCAGCAAATCCAAATCTTTTTGGCGGTTTAATATAAAATTATTGCATGATCAGATATTCTGTGACAATTTTAGGGTTTTTTTGGGATTACTGGAGATCAAGGAAGGGTGATTTTGATTCCCTTACTCAATGGTGGGAGGTAGGAAAGGCCCAAATTCGTGTGTTTTGGCAGCAATATAGTTTTCTTTTGACAGCCAATATCATGAGAACTGTGCAGGAACTTGAAAAAGAGATAACACATGTGGAGAATGTCTCTGGTTCACAGTTAGGCCAGCGGAATAATGATTGTCTACATTCTAAAAGTCAAGAGCTTAACCATTTTTTACACGAGAGAGCTAAAGGAGCTTTGGTTCGAGCACGTTTCACCAGGCTCCAGGACGTGGATGCTCCAACCACATTTTTCTTTAATTTGGGGAAATCTGTGGTTCACAGAAAGCAAATGACGTGTCTTCAGCTTTCAGATGGAAAGGTGACCACAGATCCGGCTGAGATGAGAAGGCATGCAGTGGCCTTTTACACGGACTTGTTTAGTGCGGATAGCTGTGATGTGGACTCTGCTTCGGACCTTCTGCAGGGAATCCTCAGCTGAGCCCAGGGGATCGGGATGTTTTGAACAGGGATATAACCTTGGATGAGCTGTCTGCTGCGGTGTCTCAGATGGCTTCAGGCAAAGCTCCAGGAATAGATGGTTTACCATCAGACTTTTTTAAGCACTTCTGGAGTCTTCTGGGTTGGGACCTACTGGACGTGTTTAAGGAATGTTTTATAGAAGGGATACTTCCAGCTTCCTGCAGGCGTGCAGTTATCTCTCTCATACCAAAGAAGGGAGATTTAACCCTTCTTAAAAACTGGAGACCAGTGGCCCTTTTATGTGCAGACTACAAGATTCTTTCCAAGGTTTTATCGAACAGACTGAAAATGGTCATTGAACTGCTGATTGGTGTGGATCAATCTTACTGTATTCCGGATAGGTCTATGATTGATAACTTATTTTTAATGAGAGATGTGTTTGATATTTGTAAAGTGTACAATGCTAAAGTTGGCATCGTTTCTATTGATCAGGAGAAGGCATTTGACCGTGTGGACCATGATTTTCTTTTTTCCACCTTGAAGACCTTTGGTGTTGGGCAGGGGTTTCTGACTTGGGTGAAGCTGTTGTATAGCGATGCTTGCTGTGTTGTGAAGATGGGAGGAGGGTTGAGTTGTCCTGTGCCGGTTCGGAGAGGGATTAGACAAGGTTGCCCTATATCTGGACAGCTTTATAGCATTGCTATTGAGCCTTTTCTCTGTAGACTGAGAAGCAAGTTGAGGGGTTTCTCTTTGCCAGATCTGGTTCAGAGCCCTCCTGTC